TGCTGCTGTTCCTGGCAGTCTCAGTCTCTCACATAATTAAAAAGTTTCCCCTTTTATCCTGGATAATATCAGTTTTCTTCCCCTTTGCAGGATTGATAAGTTTGAAAGAAGAAATGGTTTATTTTCTGGGATGCTGTTTCAGGTGGTTTTTTAAGTGAATTTCCATTTCTATGGAATGCCATTAGCACAGTGTAAGGACATTAACTGGCACCCTGGCCGTGACAGATCCTCCTGTTCTGGCCTGGGGAGCTTGGCAGGACAGTGGGGTGTGAGAAGGGCTCATTCCAGGGCACTGATTGTTGTCCTCCTTCTGGGAAAGTGGTGACTCGCTCCTCACCCTTCCCTCAACACCAAGTTGGTTTATGGGAAAAAAAGCTAATTCTCTTCATCACTGAAAAATTGACCTGGAGCCTAAAGGAAGTAAGGGTAGCCTGACTGAATTTTTGAAGGGAAAGCAAAGCTGCGTGATGAAACTGTGGGTTTTGTTTAAACAGTTTTGAACACAAGAGGACAAACCCATCATCCCTGGTCAGGATGGGGATCCACCAAGCTCAGAGCCTTGAGCCCTCTCTGGTTGTGCCTGGCCGTGGGTGTGGAGGGAGAGGTGTAAAATGGGATTGTAAAACAAGGGATGGAGGGACAGGAGCCAGGGAATGGCTGCCAGTGCCAGAGGGCAGGGCTGGATGGGATCTTGGGCAGGAATTGTTCCCTGGCAGGGTGGGCAGGCCCTGGCACAGGGTGCCCAGAGCAGCTGGGGCTGCCCCTGGATCCCTGGCAGTGCCCAAGGCCAGGCTGGACGGGATTGGATCACCCTGGTACAGTGGGAGGTGTCCCTGCCATGGCAGGGGTGGGATGGGATGGGCTTTCAGGTCCTTTCCAGCCCAGACCAGTCTGGGATTCTGTGTTGTTGTCTCTCAGGTGTCTGTAAACTCTGGGAGGGAGAGGAATGTGGATGTTCTCAGGACTGATGTGGGGAGGGGGAGGAAAAGCCCTGTTTGGAGCACTGGGCTGGGGCTGTGCTGAGCCTGGGGAGAAGCTCTCCAGTCTCTCCATTGACAAAAACCACTGAGAAAATAAGAGGGCAGTGTCACTGCCTGTTGTGCTCAGCCAAGCAAGCCTTCTCTTTTAATGAGAGTGCATTTTGTTTGATCTGTGCTTTTTGCGGGGGAAATGATGAATTTTAGCCATTATGAAAACAAAAGGCATGGTTATTTGTAAGGATTGTTTTATAAGAAGCATATGTGTCCTTTATTATTCTTGTGCTTGAAGTGTGGGGATTGTTTTCAGTTGGGAGGCTGCAGTAGAAGAATGTGAACTTCTGACTCACTTAGAAATCGAGCATGTATCAGCCAAATGCTGAGGGTTCCTTTATGTTTTCATAACTCAAATTTCTCAGAATGGAAAGGATCTTACTTGCCCTTAGTTAGAGAATAATTTTTGTTGCCATTGAGAAAGGCTGGCTTCTTTTCTAGAAGAACTTCTCTTGCTTTCAGTACATTCTGCATTTCCCTTTTCCCTCTCCAGCAGGGCAGTTTCTCCATGTTCTGCCTACACACCTCATTCTCCACCATATTTCTGTTTGGGCTCCTAATTCTGGCTCTTCATAATTTGTAGTTGGCAGCACAGACCAAGGAATGGTTTCACAGAGTGATCCCAGGAAGGTGTGGGCTCGGCTCCTGGCACCTGAGGAATTCTGGCTTTTGTCTGGAAGAACCAAATGAGGAACATGAGATGAGTATTGGCTGCAGAGGCAGATGCAGCCCCAGCCATTCTGTGATGTGTGCTTGCTGTAAGCTTGGTGCTCAGAGAGCACACACTCAGCAGGGCTGGTTCTGTGATACAGGACTGCATGTTGGCACATGAACAGAGCACATCCAAACCAGAGACTCACAGAGGAACTGCTGCCCTGTGCCTTGCAAGGGGCATCACTGAGGTAGAAGCTTCTGTTAAGCCAGGTCTGTCTGGAAGATGAGAAAAGAACCACAGAAAGATAAGCCTCTGGATCCTGACCTCCTCCCTGAAGTCAAATATTTCCTGCTGAGTGAAACAGCCATCTCAGCTGGGTTGGAATGAAGCTTTGCCCCTGCTCTCGACACAGGCAGAGGTCCAGCACGACCTGCAGAGTCCTCGCTCTGGTGGGATGAGCCAGGGGCACGAGGTGGCTTTGTTCTCCTCTTTAGGTCTGGCTCTGGGAGCAGCTGCTTGTGGGTTATTCTGTTCAGCCCCTGTCTGTGCCTCATCCTTAGATTCCCTGAAGCCTCACAGGTGAGGAGGGGAACAGCCCTGTGCAGACACCAGCAGATTTCTCACTTTCTCTTCTTGTTCAATCCCTGCCCTCTGTCATTGTGAAGCCATTCCCTGTGTCCTGTCCCTCCATGCCTTGTCCCCAGTCCCTCTCCAGCTCTCCTGGAGTCCCTTTAAGCCCCGGAAGGGGCTCTGAGGATTCCTTGGAGCCTTCTCCTCTGGAATCTCTGCACCAGGTCCCTGTCCCTGTGCTGAGGAGCCCGGAGCGGGTGCTGTGCTCCAGGGACGCTCTGTGGAAAGAGCCCAGCCCTGGCTCTGTGGCAGGGACTGTGTCCCTGTGTCCCAATGTCCCTGTGTCCCCCTGTGTCCCCTTGTGTCCCCTTGTGTCCCCTTGTGTCCCCCTGTGTCCCCTTGTGTCCCCTTGTGTCCCCATATCCCTGTGTCCCTGTATCCCTGTGTCCGTGTGTCCCCATATCCCTGTGTCCCTGTATCCCTGTGTCCCCATATCCCTGTGTCCCTGTGTCCCTGTATCCCTGTGTCCGTGTGTCCCCATGTCCCTGTGTCCCTGTGTCCCCATATCCCTGTGTCCCCATATCCCTGTGTCTGTGTGTTCCCATATCCCTGTGTCCCCATATCCCTGTGTCCCTGTATCCCTGTGTCCCTGTGTCCCCATGTCCCTGTGTCCCCATATCCCCGTGTCCCCATGTCCCTGTGTCCCTGTATCCCTGTGTCCCTGTATCCCTGTGTCCCCATATCCCTGTGTCCCTGTATCCCTGTGTCCCCATATCCCTGTATCCCTGTGTCCCCATATCCCGTGTCCCTGTGTCCCTGTATCCCTGTGTCCCCATATCCCTGTGTCCCCATATCCCTGTATCCCTGTGTCCCCATATCCCTGTGTCCGTGTGTTCCCATGTCCCTGTGTCCCCATATCCCCGTGTCCCTGTCCCCCCATGTCCCTGTGTCCCCGTGTCCCCGTGGCTGTCCAGTGCCACGCTGGCACCTCTGCCGTGCTCAGAAGTGCAGAGATGTTTTCCTGGGGCTGTCTCAGCTCGGGTTGCAGCAGCAGGGAGGTGAGGTAGGAAACAGTCAGGGGGAAAAGGGCTGGGTTTGTTGATTGAGGTTTCAAAAGCCTTGAACAAGTTGAATTATTGGTTGTATCTGAAGTGAAACACTGCTCTCCTAACTGCTCTCATTTCCTGTATCACTCCAGCCTGTTCCCTGCATTAATTACAGCTCACATTTACGCTGGATTTGGTTACACGCTGCGTCGCCTTCTCATTTTTTTTCCTGTGTGTGTATAAATTTCTTTGGCAGCCAGGCCAGGAGGAGAGTGTGCGGATATGCACATACACATGGACCAAATCTGACTGTAATTTACTAATTTACTGGGGAGAAGGGATCTGGCTTTTTCTCTGTTTTGGTGTAAAGGGAGCCTTTTCTTTTTCCAAAGGAGAAGCAGTAGCTGAGAGCAGCCAATGTTTGTAGAGTTCAACATTTCAGAACAACCAGAGATGAGAGAAAATATTATCTCGTGAATCGTAAATGTGGCATTTTTAATTTGGCTGGTGTTTCCCAGAGGTTAGTAGATAATGGGAATATTATCATGCTCTTGGCTCAACCAGTAATCAGCTTGCTACTTCAAATATTTTATAAATGCAGTGCCTCAGAGTTCAGCTGGATGAGGTAGAGCCTTTCACAGCTGAAGGAGATTTTTGTGACCTGAAATATGAAGTGTGATGGGATACTGAGCATGAAATCTAGCATTTGGAAATAAACTCTTTAGGAATCATAAAACACAGAAGGTGATTAAAAGGAAGTTTCCTTTTCAGTTTAAGGTTTTTCTTTTGGCTGTATGAAAACATAAGAGGAGGTGCTTTAGGAGGAGTGGTTTTGGAGGGTTCATTCAGGTTTTTAAATTCATTCTTCATATTTAAACTGTTGATGCTGCAGATGATTTTCATTCAGAATATTTTGTGTCGTGGTTTCGTAAGTAAACGTGAATTTAGGAGAATCAGATAGGAAACACGTTACTGCTTTTAAAATGAAATATTCTGAAACAATTGCTTTAGAAGAACTGTGTGATGAATATTGGTGTGATTAATAATGGTATGATGAATGGCTGCATGAGGAATGATAACACACAAAACAACTGAATGCAAGTTCTGCAATAACTAGGTGAAAAGTAAGAGGAAAATTCCAATTCTTCTTTTGAAATATTAGATCCCTCTTTGTTTAGCCTTGCCACTCATCACAGCAGCCTTTCATTTTTCCTGTTCCTCGGGCACCCTGAACCCCCCTGCAGCCTCTCTGCTGTCCCTGAGCACACCCAGCTCCCTGTCCTGGCCCAAAGTCTCTCCCTCCCTCCTCCATGCCCAGGAGCCTCAGTGCAGAGCCAGAGCTGCTCATCCCTGCTGAGCTGTGCCAGGTGCTGCCTGTCCAGGAGCCTTTCCTTTCCTGGGAAGGGCAGGATGTGGAGCAGCAGCAGGATCAGGATCAGCACTGCAGCAGCCCAGCTTTGGGGTGCCCAGTTAAAGCCGTGCTGCTGCTGGCTGTGATTTTGTCAGGATTTCAGATTGCAGGGTTTTACACACTAATCCTGACTGGCAGTTGGAGCTCGGTGGGTTCCAGCATGGAGTAGCTGATTTCTCTGGGGTGAAACAATGCCCCAGTGTGTCTGGGCCGCCTCTACGGAGCCAATAAATCTGTTTTGTTTTGTTTTTCTCCCTCCTTTTCTCTCTCTCTTCCCCCTCCTCCAGGCCAGGACCCGCTCCTACTGCTGAAAACCCTTCAGCTTCTGTGGACAAAGCATGAGCTGGGGAAGGTAAGGCTGAGCCCTGCACACAGCAGCTCTCGGGATGCAGAGCATGTCCAGGCACAGGTCACACCCGCCATCCTTCACTGCTGCTTTCAGTCCAGCACTCAAGGGAAGAGCCTCTGCATTTACAGCTACAAGTGAAAAGAAAAGGTAGCTTTGTGTGATGGGGAGCAGCTCGGGGGTCCTGGAAAAGAGCTGGAGTTTCCAGGGCTGAGTTACAGAAGGAAAGAAAATCAAAGTTGCTTTTGTTTTGTTTTAAACACTTTTTTTGTCCGTTAAATGGAGTTTCTCAGGGGGAAGGGGGAAGAATATTGCTATAGCTGGAAAAAATGAGACTTGAACTTGGTAGAGAAGTGCTTTTTGCCAAGTGGATATATCAAAGCGTTCATATTTCAAGTGGGTTTTCTGTTTGTTTGTTTTTTGTTGGAGTTTGTTTTGTTTTTGTTTGGGTTTGCCTTCTAAAGCGGTGAATGCAATTTACACCGATGTCCAAAATTAGTGCTGTATTTTTATACAGCAACCTATGGTCTCTGCACAGAAATTTTTCATAGGCAGTAAAATATATTTCATCTAAGTTTGGAAGCTTGAAAACTAACAAAAGCAGCAGATGCACCAGCTGAGGGGGGAGTTTTCCATGTTTAACTCTGCTGCTCAGGCAGGTTGAGGAGTGAGCTGGTTCCTTTTGTAGAAGGCCCAGAGCCCTGCAGCTCCCACACGAGCACGTGGAACTGGGGCTGTGTGGAGTGGCCAGCACGCCTGGGGGATGTGCTCCATCCTGGCTGGCTGCACTGCTTCAGCACTGGCCTGGGCTGCTGCTCTCAGACTTTCCATTACTGGTGGGCTGTGGTTGCCAGCTGGAATAAACAACTGGAAACCCAGAGTGAGAGGTGCCTTTCCAAGTGGTCACTCACTGCTGGAGACTTGAGCTCAGCAGCTCTGAAGCCTTGAGCTTTCCATCAAATGTTGTTAGAGTTGGAGGAATAAAAATATTATCCTTTAGGTCTGGAGGGCAGTTAATGCCACAAAACAACAGCAGGAAAGAGAAATCAAATTCTCTGCACTGGGATACGTATGTGGATTGGGAAGAAAAACACCCTGGAAAATACAATGCCTCCCATGGACATGTGCAGTAATTCTGCTGGGGCTGGAAAAGCTGGAGGATCCCCAGGAGCCATGGAATCACAGACTGGTTTAGATTGGGGAGGAATTTAAAGTTCATCCAGAGCCACCCCAGCCATGGCAGGGACACCTCCCACTGTCCCAGGCTGCTCCCAGCCCTGTCCAGCCTGGCCTTGGGCACTGCCAGGGATCCAGGGGCAGCCCCAGCTGCTCTGGGCACCCTGTGCCAGGGCCTGCCCACCCTGCCAGGGAACAATTCCTGCCCAAGATCCCATCCAGCCCTGCCCTCTGGCACTGGGAGCCATTCCCTGGCTCCTGTCCCTCCATCCCTTGTCCCCAGTCCCTCTCCAGCTCTCCTGGAGCCCCTTCAGGCCCTGCCAGGGGCTCTGAGCTCTCCTGGAGCCTTCTCCTCTCCAGGGGAGCCCCCCCAGCTCTCCCAGCCTGGCTCCAGAGCAGAGGAGCTCCCTCAGACCCCCTTAGTGCTTTCTTTAGATTCATTCCCACAGCACCACATCTCTCCTCTGGTGATCACCCAGTGGCACCTGAGGTTTGCAGGTCCCCAGTGGGGTTTGCAGGTGTGTCCCCCCTCCAGGCTGTGTGCTGGACAGGAGGGCTGTGGTGGGCCCAGCTGCTGTGGGGACACAGCAGGAATGTCCCAGGGGGTTCTGACATTGTCACCAGGACAGGCTCATCCGTGCTGCGTGTGGATCCACAGAAAGCCTGGACTTGTTTTTTGGGGCTGGGCTGCTCTGCCCTCTGTGTGCAGCTCAGGTGGGTTGTGCTGCTGCTGCCACCCAAATGTCCAGCCCAAATAACTGAAATAAGTTGATTTAAATCCAGCTCAGGCTGCCCCAGTGCTGGGTAAGTGGCAGGAGCTTCTCTGCCTCTCGTTGTGTATTGTCCAGGAGCTGGGGGAAAGCAGCCCCTTGGTCTCAAATCAGTGACCATGGGCAGGAATGTGTCTGCCCATGTGGAGTGTGACCCCAGTTCTGGAACATGGCTGTGAGAAATGGTCATTTCATGACAGTTTGGGAATAACCAGGAGGCATCAGCAGACTGCCTGGAGCTGTGGGACTAGAAACAGGGAACCAAAGCTGAATAAAGGACTGTGTAGTTTGGGCATCAGCAACATTTTCCTATTCCCATGATCTGTCAGGCTGTAGAAATCCCCCGAGGAGAATTCCCTGCCATGGGAATCAATTGAAATGGAAATGGCAATTACAAGAAAGTTTGAGAGGAATCCCTCTCTGGCAGAGGGGGAGCCAGGCAGCACAGCACTCTTTCCTCTCTGGTTTAGGTGCCCTTTTTGTTCTCTGCCTTTCCCCTCAGACCATGGATGCCACAGATGCTGAGGGCTGGCTGGGAGCTCTGGAGGGAGGATTTTTCCCAGCTCATTCCAGTGCCAGTGCAAAGGCCAGGCTCGGTGCTGATGTGTCAGTGCTGGGAGCTGCTCTGCCTGTGCCAGCAGGAGCTGGTGTGTGCTGGAGCCCATCCTGCCAGAGCCCAGGCTCAGATCCCAGCCCAAGGAGGAGCTGAGCAGGGTGATGGAAGCTCCAAATGTGCTGAACTGGGGCTCTGGGGGGAAAAAAAGCCATTTCCAAACAGTGAAGTGGAGTTGGCAAGTTGCTTTGTTTTCCTTTGGCTGTTGTATTGGATGTTTGTGGTTGGATCAGAGCTCATCTTTGCCTTCTGCTGCATCTCCCAGCAAAGCTGGAGCCCTGTGTTTAACATCACAAACTCTTGCCACAGGGAAAATTACTTTCAGGGAGAAATCTCTTATCTAAAGTCCCATCTCCATTAGTCATCAGCTTTTTCATACTGCCTTTGATAGCCTAGTGAGAAAGAAACAGTTTCTGTCATAAACCATAGGTTCTGTGGGTTTTCCAGACATGAAAGACACTCTGGAAAACAACTGTCTTCCAGTAAAAATTGTTGATGAATAAAAAAAAGAAGAAATTTGTTGGCAAATTTTCTGTAGATTTTATTTTGTTTTCCATGTTGTTCTTCAAACTTTATATTGTTTCCAGTGGAAGCTCCGAATGGGGCCATGAAATCCAGTAAGTTACAAGTGCTGGCTGAGGCAGGAATGAGCATCTTTTGCATTTGGCTTTTTAGCCAGAGAAGAAAGAGAGCAGCTGCTGTGGGTGATTTCTTGTTTTGTGTGGCTGCTCTCGCCCTGCTCCACGCTGCTGCTGCAGTGAGAGGTCCTGTGTGGGTACTGAGGATGCCACTGCCTCACCCTGCCAACCCTCCCAGCTCCCTGGAAACTACTTCTAATGTAAACATGATCGAGATATTGCTCAGTACTGCTAATTTATCACTTCTACCAGATGGGGAGTAAGTAGCCTATTAACATTCACAAAGTGAGGGTCCAATTCCTTCACATTTCTAAACACATCTCCCTGGGATTCCTAAGATTTATGGCGTGGAGTTTTCCCATGTTGTGAGCCCCTCTGTGGGGCCTTCAGGCTCCTGGAGGTGTGCAGGGGCAGAAGGTGCTCAGGGAGCTTTGGGGAAGGAGCACAGATTTGGAGGATGACAATCTGGCAGGATTTGAACTCACATATTTCACTTTGATCTGAGTGCAAAATCCCAACTATTTTGAGACTCCCAAGTGTTCCAGTTATGGGCAGTATTGTGGCTGAAGTGTGCATAAGGTCAGATATGCAGGTTTGTGGTGCAGCCATGAGGAGGGGTTCTTGTACTACTCCTTGGAGGTTCCTTAGAAGATCAGGAGGTTTTTGAGCCTACTTCTCTACCTTCAATATTGCCATTTTCCCAATAACACCCCTCTCTCCAGCTCACTTCTTTTCTCCCCCTCCCCCAAATCCCAAGCCCCTTTGTCTGCCCCACAGAACAACTTCTCTGTCTTTATGGGATAATTAGTGTGGACAATTGCTGCTTTTCCCATTGGGTTTGAGGTGCAGCGAGCCATGAAGGAATCTGTAATGACATGAAAAGTCACTGGAGGCGCGGATGGTGGCTGAATAGCAACAGTTACCTCTCTGAATAGATTAAATAAAAAAAAATAAAGCTTTGTGTTCAGCTGGGGGAAGGGAGGATTCACTAATCTTTTTGTACATGACAATGTGGTTTTGTATCTCGGCAGCTCAAGGAAGAAATCAGGCGTGGCTTTGCCAGGCTGGAGGAGCCTTTGGCAGGACTCCTGGCCATGCTGGAGAGCAGCAGCGACTGGAAGGGGAAAGGGCGTTCCCTGAGCCATTGCATCACCACCGAGCTGCAGCTTTGGATGAAAGCACATCCTGCTGTCCCACAGGTTAGAAAAAGAGGAGGAAAGAGAGCTGGGAGACAGGAGAGAGCAATTGATTTCAATATTCTTCAAGTGTGCCTGGTTTCACTTTATTCCAAAGTCCGGTATCTTCTCTGTAGCCCTGTGCAGAGTGAGAAGGTGTGAAACTCACGGTGAGATGTTGTTATCTGTGGCATGCTGGCCTGAAAATGAAACCACACTGGGGGCTGTGCTGCCAGAGCTGTTTCCCCTCCAAAGCTGGGATTTCCGTCTCTCCAGATCAAACCACTTTGAGCATTGCTCTTGCAGCCTTTCCAGGCTGGAGGCTCTCCCACAGGAACCCACATCCCTGCTGTCACAAGAAACCCAGTTGCAGAAATCTCTCTGTGTGTTCTTCCAGCTCTGCAAATAGAAGCCAGTTACTGTAGGATTGCTTAATTCCTGCCATATGGTGGGAATGCAGAAAATGGAACAGCCTGCCTTTTCAGCAGCTGATTAGCTCTGTAAAATTGGGTCATCAGATTATATGTCCTAATGTTTACCATTCCTTCTGCCTTCAGATATTCTGACCTACTGAGATTTTCTCTCTTCTGTAAGCTTTTGGCTCTGAACTGCAGGATAATTTTATATTTGTGTTGCTTCCTTTCCCATTTTTCCAAATGGCTCTGGTTAGATGTCGAGCTCTGCCATCACAGGATCAGCAAAGTGCTGCTGGCACTGGGATTCCTGTGTCATGAGTGAATGGTCAGGTGGGAACACAAGGATTAATACCTGTGGCTTTGCATCCTTTGATGGTGCTTTTGCCTTCCCTTCATGCACCCAGCAGCGAGCCTGGGAATGACAGTGGAATTCTCATGCCTGATGGGTGAGATCCCCCTGGAGGGGAGTCGGTGGATTCAAAGACTTTCTGCTGGGAGCTCGAGGGGAGGATTTCTGAAGAGCTCTCTTAGCACAGAGGGCATTTTTCCAGTTTACCTTTGCACAAAGCACTATCCCTTCTCCAGAATTACCCCACAAATATTTCACGTTCTTAAAGTGGGTGCTGTGAAGGAAATGTGTATCACATTGTTGTGATTTCTGCCTGCAGACTCCGTGGGGAAATCGCAGAAACCCTGCCCGAGGAATTCGCTTTCTCTGTTTAAACAAAGCTGCATTTTCAGCCGCCCTTGAATCACACCCATCTTTACCAAACGTGTGTTTGATTGTTTTTTGGTTGTGTTTTGAAGTCTGGCACCAAGCTGCAGGAGCTGCAGGCCCGTGTGCTCGGAATGCTCTCCCAGTGCCCAGCTAATCTGCTTGACCCCCTGATCAGCATTTACCAGCTCCACGCAGTGGACCGGAACTCTCTGCTTGAACACGTCAGTCATCTTTATCTCCAGGGCAATTACAAAGAGGTGGGTCGTGTCTTTCAAATAAATTCACCTTGCCAGCTCTCTGGGAATGTCTGTGTCCTTTTTTTTGGATGCATTTCAATGTGAATTCCATTTCACCCCAGCAGCTGCACGCTGTGAATGCTGCAGTTTAACCTGCTCTTCCCATGTACAGGAGCAGCCTGGGCTCAACCTCGGCTTCTCTGCTGAGGACACAATGCCAGGGAATCCTCTCTCCACTCCTTTGCTGACCTTTGGAAGTAATAGGTTAATAGGCTTTCATTCAGAGAATTTAAGGGGATGGTTGTGGGTTTTTTTTTGTTTTCCTTGTCCTTATAAAGAAAAGAAGGGATTTTAGTCCTTGGTCATAGACCTGCTGTGCTATCTCCAGCCCACCTGCAGCAGAGAGCCTGGAAAACCTCCCTGGTCCCATTGCCCCAACCTCAGGCCTCACTTGGAGAAGTTTTTGAGCCTCTTTAGCACCGAGGCTGATATTCCAAATGTGTGACACCTCCTGTGTCTGTGGCTGGGTGGTTGACACAGGAGTTCAGCAGGGCTAGGATCTGGTGTTTACCCTGTTCTGCAGCACTGCAGCATCTCCAGCATCTCCAGCATCTCCAGCATGTTTGTCCCATCCCCAGAACTGTTCCAGGCCAGGTTGGACAGGGCTTAGAGCATCCTGGGCTACTGGAAGGTGTCCCTGTCCATGGCATGGGGTGGAACTGAATGGGCTTGAAGGTCCCTCCCAACATTCTATGATCTTTCTTTTTTAAAGGCCAAAGCTTTGTTTTCCCCCAGAAGCACGGTTCCTTTGGATGGTGTATAACAACTTGAGCTTGTTTAGCAAAAGGAAAACTCAAATATAGCATTCTTAAAATCCTGTTCTTCAGTAAAGCTGAATTCCCAGGTGACATCCTGGAATCCCATTCTTGTTAATCTCTTTCAGTACTGAAACAAAGATATTCTGTATTTGGTTTGAAGTTCCCAGGTAGCTGCTTGAGACTTAGTCTTGTGCTCAAAAACTTTTTGAATGTGAATATTTGACAATTACAACAGAAATGTCTTACTTGATTATATTCAAATGGGATTTTTAGGTTCATGGCTCCAAAGACATTTATTGTTTTCATTAGAAATACAGTTCTTTCTAGATCCAGCTTTGGAAATCAGATTTTTTTGGTGGAATTGTTCTGTTTTTTGTTTCACAACAGAGCTCATTTACTGCTCATTTCCAGTGTGAAGAACAGGAAACCTCAACAGCTTCTCACTCTCAGCCATAGCTTTCTTCTAGCTTTCTTTTGTTACCAGAAGGATGAATCAAATTCTCTTCAAAAATTGCAGGAAGTCTTTTATTGCCCTTGGGGAGTGAACACAGCTAACTCAGACTAACCCCAAACAGCCTGGAGCTGGGGCTCTGAGCACTGCAGTGGCTCTGGGTGTCTGTCTGTCCTGCTCTTCCCCATCTCTCAGCTGGGCCAGTGAAGCAGACTCACGTGTAGGATTGTTGGCTTTTCAGTCTCTCACCTGGCAGGACAGAAATCCATACAAACCCTGACTGACATTATTTATTTTCTTGCTGGGTTTGCAATAAAACACCAGGCATTTTACAGTTTAGTATTTAAAAGGGCTCATCAAACAGAGGGAGATGACATTTTCCTGGGCAGATAGTGATAGTGCAAGTATTTTAAGCTAAAAGAGGAGAAATTTAGATGGGATCTTGGGCAGGAATTGTTCCTGGCAGGGTGGGCAGGCCCTGGCACAGGGTGCCCAGAGCAGCTGGGGCTGCCCCTGGATCCCTGGCAGTGCCCAAGGCCAGGCTGGACAGGGCTGGGAGCAGCTGGGAGGTGTCCCTGCCTGGGAGTTCAACCCAACCCAGGCTGGGATTCTGTGATTTAATCTGGAGCAGATTATTCCCTTTGTCTGTGGTGTGCAAGCCATGAATGTCCCTGCTCTGAGAGTTAAGGCTCCTTTCCCTCATGGAGGTTTTGGGGAATATTTGCTTTGGCAAACGAGGTCCCAGAGCTCCCTGGGGATGGCTGTGGCAGCTGTTGGTTGCTGAAGCACCTCTGGCCCTCCTTGGGGCTGGGTTTGGGGAGGCTGAGGCCGGAGCTGGGGCAGCACTGGCACAGGGCACGGGAGAGGGGCCAGGTGGAGCTGCTGGTTGTGCTTTGGCTGTGCTGGGAGCACCTGCAGGGGAGCAGCACCAGAGGATGGCACTGTGCTCCTGGGATGCAGGGACACAGCCGCACCGGGAGCTGGGGAAGGGCAGGAGCTGCAGCTGGGTTTTGAGATGTCTGGGCTATCTGGCATTTTATCTGTGGTGATGGGAGCGTGCAGCTGCTGCAGGAGCAGTGGGAGCTTTGAGCAGGGCTAGGGGCTCCCAGCTCTGCTCATCGTGGCCCCGTGGCATGGGGACATGGGAGGGATCAGCATTCCTGCTCAGGGAGTTCAGTCAAGCACAGCAGCCTTGTGTCCCCAGAACCCCTCCAAAGCTGCCCACAGCTCCCTGCCACCCTCGGCCTGGGCTGTGCCAGAGGTGCCAGAGCCCAGCCGTGCTGCTGGGTGCTGTGAGCCGGGGTTGTGGTGTGGGAAGGGCCTGGGTGAATGTACAGAGACATCTCATGGATGTGGTGTGGGAAGGGCCTGGGTGGATTTGGTGTGGACAGGGTGCTGGGTGCTGATGGATTTGGGGTGTGTGGGAAGGGTGCTGGGTGTTTCTGGTGTGGGAAATGCACTTGGGTGCCAGAGGAAGTGGTGAAAGAAGGACTCTGGATGGATTTAGTATGGGAGGGGCACTGCGTACTGGTGGATTTGGTGTGTATAGAATGGGGTCTAGATGGATTTGGTGTGGGAAGGGCTCTGGGGGTTTGGGTGCAGGAAGGACACCCTGTAGGTGTGGGAAGGGCTCTGGGGGTTTGGGTGTGGGAAGGACACCCTGTTGGTGTGGGAAGGGCTCTGGGGGTTAGTTGGGTGCAGGAAGGACACCCTGTTGGTGTGGGAAGGGCTCTGGGTGCCAGGGGGACAATGCTGGGATTCAGCAGACCGGGGGTAATGCAGCTCGAGCGGGGCTGCGAGAGGCCCTGAATAGGCCAGGCTGTGCTGGAGAAGAATGAGGGGTAGGCAGAAGGCAAGCTAGTGTTTCATGGTCATCTTATGTTACACTTCAGCCTTTCAAAGAGTGTCTGGGGCTGCCTGAATGAACCTCTCTGGCACTGCGAATGCGGAGCCCGCAGACAAAGGGGACTCTTGTCACTCGCAGGCCCCTTTGGGGAATAAAAGCCATTGTCACATGAACAGGGGCAGTCTGGCAGGCTGTGCATGCTTCAGTACCCCATGATATCGCTAAGTCTCAGCAGAAATCACATTCAGGGCCCTGTCAGCTTTGATTAGCGAGGTCTCATGACTTAATGTGCTGCGATATTTCATGTCTAAGGGTGGCGGCTGTCTTTCTGGGGGATGAATGCCCTCTATTGTCCACAGAGTTATTTTATTTACATTTTTTAAACAGCTTATAAAGGTAAAAAGATAGCTGTGCTTAAAGAAAAAAATCAAATTCCTTTGCTTGTGGATCAGCAGTGAGTGCTGCTCGGGTCAGATACAGTGAAAATTGTTTTCACAGTCAGCATCAAAGTTCTCGTCTTGTTTAACAGCTTTATAGTAAATTCTGAACAGGTGGCAGTGGAGCTGGGTTTAGGAAGGAAACAATAAATAATCTTTTTAGCCTCTGACAACCAGAAATATTCCTGGGCCTGAGAGACCTCCCACTCCAGCCTCTGTGTCAGTGATTCACAGAGCTTCTCTCCCCTTTATCACTTTGCTTCTTAAACAAGAATATTGGATGAAGTCAGCAGTATTTTATTTTTAGCAGGATTTTCAGTTGCTGTCCATTCAGATTTCTCTGTTTTCAAAAGCAGAGTATATTTTTTCTTCTGTTTTATCCATCAATTTCTAGAAATAAGGAAGGCTTGTACGCTAAATCTGGTTAATGTTTGCTCTTTCAATTAATATAATGTGGGTTATCTGGTAGAGTTCAGTTAAAATTTGACATAAAATATGTTGGAGTACCAAGACAAAAAACTGCGTAGACACAGAATTGCAAGTTTTTGTCAGCAATGCTGCTACAGGCGTAATAAAAAAGGGTGATTGACCAGAGTTAAAGGAGCACAAATACTCAGAAGTGTAGAAATGGAGAGTTCAGTCCCCATCATGAGCTTCAGGGTCAGTGCAGGGATGCTGTGAGCAGAGTCAGGGGTGCTGGTGTTTGCAGCCCTGCTTCATCCCTGCTGCTGGACTGCACACAGTGGATCTTTGCAGATCTGTCAGTAGAGATCAGTGTTAGCATTGATTGAGCACATTAATGGATAATCACATTTTAGATTCCTTCACTCTGGCTTTTTCTGAGCTGTTCTCAGGCCAGGGAAAATGTCTCTGATATTGCTTCTTATCTTCATTCACCACCTTAATTATACCAAGGCTTCTTCAGCTCTTACTGTATTTTAAAGTGTGTGCATTTTTATTTCCTTATTTCTTTTGAATTAAGAATCATATTGGCTAAGAAGGCCAAGGGGAATGTTCCAGCAGTTGTTTCTCCCCTGGAGATGATGATTGTTTCAGTATCCAGCCCTTTTTCCCCTGCAGGTGCTCTGCTGCTGCAGGCCAGCTGTGGTGGCACACTGCCTGCCTGCTGATGCCCCTCTGGAGCAGAGGGAGCCAGCCCATGGCCCATGGGCCACTGCTCCCCTTCCAGAGCCTCCTCTGCCCCGGGCTGTGCCTGGGAAATGCTGGCCAAGGAGCTTCAGCATGGCTGGGAGTCATAAATGAGCTGCTAGAGTTCTACTGCTGCCTGAATTTCCTGGCTCTGGGGCAGCCCTGAGGATGGGCAGCAGGTCCAGCTGTGCAGAGTTTGGGTCTGGGAGAGGTGGGCAATGCTCAGAGAACGAGCTGAGCAGTTAAACCCTATCTAAAACTGTTGAGTGACCTGAGGGACACAAATCAGGGCTTCAGTTCCCTCTTCCCCCTGACCTGTGCATATCCCAAGCTGGACTCGTGCTTCTCTCCCCCTCCCTCAGACTCTTCTGCTGGGAATAACCTGGCACTGCTCTGTGTTGATGGTCTCACTCCTCCCTGGTCTCCTGAGTGTGGGCCTGAGGAATTCCATGTTCCCTGGTTTCTGCAGACCTTCTCACAGCCAGCTGTGTGTGAAGTGCCCTTTGAGCAGGAAACAATCAACCATGGAGCCTGATGTCATCCACTGAGCAGCGATGCACTCTGAGCTCAGCAAAGCTGATTAGCCTCCAGTTTGAAATGAGTGATTCCAAAACACAAAACAGATGTGCCCAATGATTAATACCTGGTGTGCCTTTTACTCAATTATTTCTGCCATTATCCAGGCTTTGATCACTGTGATTTTCTTGGAGTTGACATTGGTTCCTCCTCAGCAAAATCTTCTGTTGTTTCGTTTATTTGGGATTTCAGAAATTCCCTCACGGTGTGTTTAGAAATAGTGCCCTCAGTCAGGCACAGACATATCTGTGTTTGTGCTGTCCCAGCTCGCCTGGCAGAGCCAGGAGCAGGAGTCAGCAGCAGTCCCTGGTGTCTGTCCTGCCCCAGCACTCGGAGCAGTTCTCCTGCACGAGGTAATTCCTCTGCCACCAACCCCACCGTGGGAAAACACAGATTGTCAGTGCAGACACCACCCAAGTGCACATGCCCTTCAGATAAGATCTTGTGTGGCTTCCTGCACCTCGTACTGTATGTGGAAAGAACAGTCATTTTTCGATGAGACAGAGCCAAGTGCACTGACAGCAAGGCGAGAGGAGCAGGTATTGGTGCAGGGTGGCTGGGCTGAGCCCGCTCCAGAGCGCTCCACACTCCCATCGTGGGCTGCAGGAGTGTTCTGATTCTCATGGCTGAACATGTCAGCTTCGGGAAACCTCCCCCATCCTTTGCTCAGTGCACCTACACGAGGGTTAGGTGGAACTCGGTGTGGTGTTGCCCAGATTTGAGTTCTGCCCCAGCCTCAAACAGCCCTCTGCTGTATTTTAGGGATTTATCTTTGTGAGACAAAACTATTACAAAATGTCCAGGTGGGATTTTTTGCATTCACTGTCATTAAGTCAAAGAATGGCCCAGAGCTCCCCAGGGATGAGGAGGCCCAGGAGCTTGGATGGGAGTTGATCAGGACATGGCCATCAGCTTTTCTCCTGCCCGGAGCAGTGCACTCATCACATCCCTCTCCGTGCACTCCTGGGGCTCAGCAGAGGGAGCAGCGTGGCCCAGGTTCGTTTTCCTCAGGGCACTTCAGCACAGGTTGGACACTGTTGTGTGCTGCAATAACAATCATTGTTGCTGTTATTAGATGGTGCTAGAGACCCTGTGTGGATGAAACACATCTTTGTGCAAAGGCTTCCTGTACCAGCAGCCACGAGAGTAATGTTCTGTTTGGGGTTTGGGGGAGTGAGCACATTGATAGGTGGCTGTATCTCAGCATTCCCCAGAGCCTGCCCACGTTCCTGCATCCTGCCAGGGGTTTTGGCCCTTGCTGCTGTGCTGCTGTTCAGGATTTGGGCAGCCCTGCTGCTCCAGCCCCAGGATCCAGCTGGATGAGCGGGATTGCCACATCCCAGCTTCCCTGGCTCCCCTTCCAGCCCAGCGCTGCCATGGGGAGTGCTGGCTCTGCCTGGGGAGGGGGCTCCTCACCCCTGGGGTTACAGCCTGCTCGGCCTCATTAAAGTGTTTGTTTTCTGAGTCAAAATGAGCCTGCGAATGAGGTGTTGCTTTGCTGAGATCTTATCGGCTGTAAACACCCTGGTAAAAATAGGGTCGTTTTACACAAAACTTGTTTGTGGAGTGAAACAATTCAAAACACGATAATAACAAAACAAAATCTTAAAATAGCTCGGAGTTGAGACCACAGACACAGCTGCCAAGCACTTTCATCTTTATTACAGTTACTCATATCTCTTCTCTACTATTGCCATTGTAAATAGGCTGATGTTATCTCTGCTGGCCTCCTGCTCAGCCCAGCCCCCGGAGCTGCACCCTGATCCTGGTGCCTGTTCCTGGGGCCCAGCTCCTGCTTCTCTCTCGTGTGGAGCTTCAGGCATGGACAGGACATCTGCCCTGCTCCAGAGAGTTCCCTGTGGCTGTTAAATTGCTGATAAAAAGCAGCTTATGCCAAGGGCTGGGCCAGACTGCCCCAGCAATGGGGTCACCGTCCCTGGAGGTGTCCAGAAAACCTGGGGATGTGGTTTGGCTGTGAACGCTGTGGGGCTGTGTGCCAGGCTGGTGGCTGCACTTGGTGATCTTAGAGGTCTTCTCCAACCTGATGGTTCCATGAACCTCTGTGTGATTGGAGTTCCTGCGTCCTCCAGGCCTGGAGAGCTGAGCCAGCCCTGGGCAGGAGGGGAGGGCTCCCCACGTGCTGCACAAATGAACTTCTGTTGTTCTGCACCCTTGGGGACACGGTGAAACCTCCAGCTAGGGAAAGAGGAAACCCCAACCTGACACCACACACGCTGTCTGATTAAGTCACCTGTACAGTTAGTAGAGCTGGAGATAAACCTCTGCCATGTAGATAACAGTGCTGCAATTAGGTTAATCTGAGCATTAAAAAGCCATTAGGGAGCTGTTGGATGTTGCAGTTAAAACTAAGGCTACAATAGGAGATACTAATGAGATCAAATGGTGAAACAAGGCCTTGAGAGCTGCAAATATTTTCTTCTTTTTTTTCTTTTAATTATTTCTTTTAATTCAGCAAACTTGAGGAGCTGTGAGGAAAGCAAAAACAGCTTTGGAGACCCAAACCCCTTTTCCAGGTCCACACTAGAAATAGCAACCTTCAACTTGAGAACAATCCCTCAGCTTGAACATTGTGTTGTTAAGCTGATGGTGTGAGAGGAAAGAAGCAGCTCTTTGCCTCTGACTTGTGGAACAGTTCTAAAGTCTGGAGTAAGGGAGAGGTTTGGATGAGGTTTAGCTGGGCTGAGCAATGCTCCTGCACCTTTCTGTTCAGTCTCTGTGTTAATGGTGATTCCTCTTTTCATCATTCAAAGTTTGTCTCTTGATTTCTCTTTTGAAGATGAAGCCTGGACTTCCAATGAAGCAGTGTTAAAAAAAAATATAAACCACCCAAACTTCCCCAAAACCAAACCCAAAACAGACAGAAAAAAAAATGTTTTCCCCCAGCTGGGATGGGACAGGCTGCACCAGCTCCTCTGAGCTTGAGCTCTTGCAGTTCATCCCAGCAGGTTCCAGAAGATCCTGATTTGGAGACAATTTGTGAGCCTGGCAGGCCTTGGCTTATCAAAGATTTGGAGTGCCCATGAAAGGGAAAATAGAGTTCTTCCCTTCTCTGTGGTGAGCCTGGTGCTTTCAGGGGTGTGGAGTGCCTCAGGAATTTGAGAACCTCAAACCTTTTGATTTCAGGGTGTTTAAAATCTTGAGCTGCTTTCACAAAATGCAACTGTTTCACAAAACTTCAAAGGCAGAGAGAGACTGATAAAGTTCACTCAGAAAGGTATGGTGGGTCAGGTGTTTTTACCATGACATTGATAGCAAATATCCATCCCAGCTGGTTTTGTCCAAGTGTTTCACTCGCTTTCTGCCCAACAACTTGATCTTTAATTTTTGCTCCAGGGGCTGTTGCTGCTCAGGATATGCAGCTCTGCCAGGAGTGTTCTTGTACATTTTCAATGTGGCCAAATGTTTGCAGGGTTTGGGCTTGATGACATAACAGAAATAATTAACACATTAAAAATGTGTATAACAGCATTTTTACTTCACTTTGGAATAATGCCCATTTATCCGCTGTAAGGTTCTTCTAAATACACAACTTCTTTTCATGTTTTCTAGGCAGCCATACTGAGTATTAAGCTGAAATTACAGCCAGATCAAGATGTAGAGAAGGTGAGTCATTTCCTCTGCAGGCTCCTCTGTCATCAGATCCACCTTTTGTTAGCAGGAGATCCATCAGGGCCCTCCAGGAGATCCATCAGGGCCCTCCAAGAGATCCATCAGGGCCCTCCAGGAGATCCATCAGGGCCCTCCAAGTCCTGCTGCCTTTCACCTGAGGCTTAGCTCCATTCCCAAGAAGCCCCTGTTGTGTTGTTGATGAACCTTTACACCAAGGTTAGGCACAGAAGGTTTTGTTAGCCCCCATTACACCCCTTGCCCAGTTTTTCTGGCTGCAGCCACTGCTGTAACAGCTGCTGGCTGTGCTCATCACTGAGGCAGAGATCAGTTCCTGGCTCGTGTTTGTGTTACAAATGTCCCAGCACTCCTGTAGGCAGCACTGGTGGCTTGGCCAGGGTTGGAGCTCTCATGCTCCATGGGGATCAAAGGCAGGGCACGGTGCTTTAACATAATTCCTTCTCCTAGATGTGTACCCCACTGCTGCTCCAGGATAAAGCTAACCTGGTGGAAGATTACGTGGCAGAACATCCCGAGCTCCAGAGGAAGCTCTTGCAGACCCTGGACACGTGGTGTGACCCCAGCTTCAATATCAGAGACATCACAAGGTAGAAACACTTGTGTTTCTGAACAGCTGGGGCCAAGGTGCTGCCAGAGCAGAGTGTGGCTGTCCCTGAATGTCCTGGGATCACAGCACAGTGTGGCTGTCCCTGAATGTCCTGGGATCACAGCACAGTGTGGCTGTCTGTCCCTGAATGTCCTGGGATCACAGCACAGTGTGACTGTACCTGTGAATGTCCTGGGATCACAGCACAGTCTGGCTGTCCCTGAATGTCCTGGGATCACAGCACAGTGTGGCTGTCTGTCCCTGAATGTCCTGGGATCACAGCACAGTGTGACTGTACCTGTGAATGTCCTGGGATCACAGCACAGTGTGGCTGTCCCTGAATGTCCTGGGATCACAGCACAGTGTGGCTGTCCCTGTGAATGTCCTGGGATCACAGCACTGTCCCCTGCCTGCCTGGCTGTCATCATGTCCCAGATAAGGGAGCACAATGTATTGACTTTTCAGCTGAAAAAGGGAAAATTCTGGTGGCTGTGCCAGAGCCTTCTCCAATGGCCCAGCCTGTAGGACAGAGGAATCCTTGCTATTGCCAGATGCTCCATTCCTGCCAGGATGAAACCAGTGCAGGACACCACAGCAGCAGAGCAGTGTCAAAGCTTCCCGTGGAGGTTGCAGCAATCGGCCTCTGGTGCTTTGCTGCAGACAAGGGTGACTTTCAGTATCGGTTGTACAGGTTTGGCAGGGAGATAACACCGTGATGAAGTGGCAGAAAAACAAGAGATGCGAGTGGTTAACCTTCCTGTGCTCATCAGCTCATGGTGTGTGTTTGCACTTCTGAATTGCCTCTCACTCGGCTAACTCCTGTCACTCAGAGCCAGCAGCACAGTCACAGTGTGGCTGCAATGTCAGCTCTGAAAAAGAGATGAAAAGGCATTGCTCACTTTCTCTGCCTTTATAATGAGCCTCTGGACTTGCTTCAAGTGGTTGACTGAAACTGTCTGAAATGTGTGGTTGTGCTGTTGGTTTTTCACAGTACCTCGGGAAAGGCAGGGGCCTGTCCTTCCCAACATCCCACAAACCCCAATCCCTCTCCTGTTAAACGTCTGCTGCTTGGGAAACATCCTTTAGATGATGCCATAGATGTGTCTTTCTGGTGTTGTTACAGACCATATCAAGGCCTGTCCAGGTACAAACCCGAAAAATTCAACCGCAGAGTGCTTGGCAAGCTGGTCTTCAGGCTCCTGGAGAGATTCAACGTTGACCCAGGTATAGGATATTGCAACATATTGTGGAGTTATCTCAGTAATAAAGAACAAAGTCAATTTGTCTTCTTCCATGGTCATCAAGGAATCTCTGCTGTCATTTATCCTGGGGAATTTCAGGGTATAATTAATGATACTGAAAAACAAAGCTGGTAAGTTATGGGAATTATCACTTTGTGCTGTCGAAGAATGAAGTGCTGGTGACTAATAGACTGCTTCTGCCATGATCTGAAATAAATCCTGACCTCAGCATGGCTCTGCATAAACACACCATGGTCAGCTCTGAGTTATGGCTCCATTCCTCTCACATAAGAGGCAAGTCATTATTCACTGGGGCTCTGTTCTCTGGGACTGGGGTGCGGCAGCCGGGAGGAGATAACCCTTGGGAAGCAGGAGCCTCACAGCCCTCTGGATCCTTTGCACAAACTAGGCTTGGTGGGGGGAATTTTAAAGCTCTTACAGCCTTGCAAGAGAAGTGGCACATTTTCCATCACTTCAGCAGCAGCTTCACCAGCAGCTCTCTAACAAAATCTGCTTTGCTTCGGTTCTTAGTGGGGATTGTTGATTTTTCCTCCTCTTTGAGGCCTTGCACCAGACCCTTTTAGGTGCACCGTTAGCTTTTACCCTGCAGAGGTTTCCATCATCAACCCAAGGTGTGCAATTCTCTTTTCTTGGCCTGAAAAGGCTTTTCTAACCACAAACTGTGGGCTTGTTACACCTGTCAGCAACACTATTGCATATTTATCTTCCCATCTTCAGACTGGTGTCCAAAAGTTAACAAGATAAACTTTTCAAACCCTCACTGGAGGAGAAGTAGATATAATTAAACCCAGCACGTTTGTGTGAGAGCTGAGACATATGGGAATGATTTATTTAGAAATTAAAAGCTTCCCAGGAGTTCATTTGTTTTCAGTAGCTTCCCCTCCTTGACAGTGCTGGGCATTTAGTCAGCTGTGTTGTCTTTGATGAGCTGGAAAAAGAAAAGAGTTGTTCCCCTTTCCTTATGAAAGCTCCACCTTGCAAGGGCATGATATAATGGTAAAGGTGAAATGATGTAACTGCTTACATGCAAAATTGTGAGAAATAATAATTAAAGAAAAATCTAGGAAAGGAGCATGTGTTGGGCTCAGGTGCACTCTGGAATGCAGCGTGCTTTCATCTGGTGATGTCGTAGGTGCTGATAATAATGGGGATAACAATGGAATTCATGATAATTCCTGGTCCTCCACAGCCATTCACTGGTGAGGAGGTTCCTTGGGGTAAATGCAGATCCCATTCCTTCCAGCCAAATGTCCTTCCAGCCCTTTCTCCCGTGCAGACTGCAGTGTCTGCAGTGCAGGATGAGTCCTTGCTCCAGAGGGGCTGCAGGACTGCAGCTAATGCCAGTGCTGGGTGACTCCCACAGTCCCATCCAGGACAGGAGGTGTTGATTTTTTACATCATTCCACATGTAATTACGAGCAGGAATTCACACATTGCTAAACTCTGCCTGTCAGTCTCCTTTGAAGTGTTTTGGAAGGGGATGAATACCTGCAGAGGAATTGCTGCCTCGGTGCTGGGCATGCTGCAGCTGAGTTGGGAAATGCTGGCAGCTGGAATAACGTGGCTTTCTTTGTCTTCCCATATCTCCCTCCCCTTTTGCTGAGTTTCTAGGTGTTCTTTCTCCATTCTTTAATGAAAGCAAGTCTGACTGGGAGGGAAAAAAGTACAAAGTACTTACAAAAGCACTTAGAAAAAGTAAGCAGGCTGGGCAAAATGTACAGATACAAGAAAGCTCATTTCTCTTGTTGTGAGCAGCTCCCCCAGGCACTGGTGGTGAGGCAGAGCTCACATTTCTTGTCACCTCACCTGGGCTCTCTGATGCTGCGGCTGCTTTTGGTCTCCCTGGGACTCCCTGTGTGGGAGCCTGAGAGCAGCAGCAGGGAGGGAAGTGGCTTTGCTGAGAAGGGCTGCAGAAAGATGAGGTTTCTGGCTATGAGAAGGCAAACTCGTGTGTGACTCAGTTCTTGCAGCTCCAAATGGACCTGGAGATTTCACTGCCTGAGCTGAGTCGTGCCCGCTCACAGTGCCCCACACTGACTGCCCAGCACCCAGAGGTGTCCCTGAGACCTGCAGCACCCCTGGGAACTGCCAGCCCTGAATTCCAGAGCCAGTTAGGAGGTGGCCCGATTAAAAAAACATCTCACATCTCAGGGGGAATAAAATAAAAAAATAAAGCAGTCCTCTTAGATTAGTTCTGTTCTTTTCCAGAGCTGTATTTCAGTATTGCTGTTAACTCCCAGACAGGCCATGGGAAGTGGGAGATTTTCTGCCCAGTCCCAAAGGTGTCCCAATAAACTGTGTGTGGATTTCATTTAATTACCCTTATTGGGGAAGGAAGAAGCTGGGCAGGAGTGGTGTGTGATTGAGGAAATTGAGGTTTATGGAGTCTTTCCTCACACCTGGGTCAGTGCTCTGGCTTAACCAGCCTGTAGCTTTTCCAAGCTAATTACTTTACAGTCTTTGGAGACCCTGTGAGATGGACTTAACAAATGCAGGTTTGAGCCAGAGCAGATGTCAGAGGTGAGGGAACAGCCCCTTCCCAGGGCTGGCACGACCAGCTCTGTTCCCTGCTGTGGTTTCAGGACACAGAGACAGCTCAGTGATGTTTTTCATTGACAGTTCCCAAGTCTGAGGTGGGAAGGATCCTGCTGAGAGAAGTGGAACAGCCTCATCTGTTGGGCCGAGTGCCTCGGTGCCAGTGGGGGAGATGGGAGAGGAGGGGCAGGGAGGGAGAGGGGAGCCCGAGAGCTCTGCTGGGGCTGGGACAGCGCCGAGCGAGGCTTTCCAACATGAGAGGAACCTTCCCTCTCTGCACCCTTGGCTTTAAAATGCCATTTGTGTCCTGTCACCGCCCGGCCCCGCGCCGCCGGGCACCAGAGGGCAGGAGAGGGCTGTGCACGGCCACAGCTGCACAGGTGAGCACAGCTGGCCACAGCTGCACAGGTGAGCACAGCTGGCCACAGCTGCACAGGTGAGCACAGCTGGCCACAGCTGCACAGGTGAGCACAGCTGGCCACAGCTGCACAGGTGAGCACAGCTGGCCCCACAGCTGCACAGGTGAGCACAGCTGGCCCCACAGCTGCACAGGTGAGCACAGCTGGCCACAGCTGCACAGGTGAGCCCCACATCTGCACAGGTGTGCACATGAAATGCACATGAAATGTGCACACAGATGTGCCTTTTCCACATGGAAGCCAAGCATTCAACTCCCCCAGTTCTGCCAGTTCTGTGCTTCGGGTATTTCCTTTAGAAGCTCAAAGAAAAAGCTGTTCAGTGATCTCCAGGGTGGCCTGGAGGGGTCATGCCATGATTCTTTCTGAAGAGCTTTGAAAACTTTAAGTTAGCTAATTTTCACATTGATCTTACATTCTTTAGAGAGTGTTCCTTTCCATGAGCTGATGATTTTCCCTCCAGGTATTGGGACAATATCCAGAGGAAAGATCACCATATTTACTGGTGCAATATCCTGTGTGATAATTGCAGTAATTTCCTCAGATGCTTTCAGGGGAGGGATTTCTTGTCACACTGTGGAAGATTAACTCACAACTAACAGCTCTGAGTGTTTCTGTTTGAGATGGAAGTGCTGGGGCTTTAGGGCACTGTGAGGAGCTGCTGGGGACACCAGGGGACACCAGGGGACACCAGGGGACACCAGGGGACACCAGGGGGACACCAGGGGACACCAGGGGACATCAGGGGGACACCAGGGGACACCAGGGGGACATCAGGGGGACATCAGGGGGACACCAGGGGACACCAGGGGACATCAGTGCACACCCCTGTGACCGCAGGCTCTGGGATGCAGAGATGTCTCCTTGTTCTCCTGCCTCTGGTCCCCGTGTGGGGCACACAGGGGGATGAGCAGTCACTTTGTGTTCCTGTGGTGCTGAGGCAAGGGAGGCTGCAGCGGGTTTCTCTGATCTCTGTGCCTGCTGGCCCTGCTCCCTCTGGCTCCGGGGAGATGCTTTAGCCCCACATGAAAGCCCCCAAGGCTTTGGGGAAGGTTCCCTGTGCAGGCAGCAGGAGCTGACACAGACCTGTGCTAATGCTGGCTTTTATCTGCATCCTTTGTCTCTCCTCGCCCTGGATTTCAAAACAAGGTGCTGTGTGAGGATCTTGGGTTCTGCACTTGTAATCAGCCATATCTAATGAAGGTGACAGCAATAAAAATAATAACAACAACTGTGGCTTGCCAGCTCAGCAAAGCTGTATTCCCCACCCTCTTTGTATGGCTGGGGAGCCTCTCATGGATCTGTGTTTTATCCATAAACCTCAGCCACAAGTTTACATCCTGAGCGAGCTGTTCACAAGTGCTTCAATGAATTAACACCGCTCCAATTAAAGCCTCGGTGCCCTGTGAGGATGCTGCCTCATTAAAGGTGTGAAGTCATTGACTGTGGAGCAGATTGAACAGGACTGAGTGGTCTTATCGCTCAGGGCTGCTGGAAGCAGAGATATCAGACCTGAGAATTAGCATTGCTAATCACGGATGAAAGTGTAAATAACAGTTTATAGCTGAGATAAGCTGACAGTGTGTGAGTCTGTCCCTCATTGTTCCAAGTGTGAGGGCATCCTGCCTTCCACAAACCCAGTCTGACACTGGGGAAGGAAAAGTGTAATGTCTAGACAGTAAAACTTCCAGGAAATTCTGTGTACTTCAATGTGTTTTTCCTTCTTTCAGCTCTCTGCCCTAATGTCATAAATCAGCGGCACTTGAGAACCCTGAATTACCTCTTCTACAAGAGATTCGTTGAGGTACGAGCTGTGCTGTGTGTGTGAAATGAGGACTTCTGGTACATTTACATTTTTAATAACTTGATTGAGATAATCAAAATGTATCAATAGTTGATGATCAAGTTTTGTTTCAAGTTCTGCTCCCAAGCCCTCCCAATCCATCAGGGAAGGCTGTGATCTGTCCCTGTGCCTGCCAGAGGAACTGGGGAGGATGGAGCCCTTCATCTTCTCAGGGTTTCAGTGACATCCCATGGGGAGCTTGGTCATCCACAGAGAGAGCAGAGAGCATTTCCCCAGGTGTTTGTTTAGAGGGAATGCATTTGTGATCTGCTCTTCTGCTCTCTCTGGCCTTCCACTTCCTTCGTTTTGGAGAATTTATTTGATTTAAAGTATCTAAGCTGGCCAGTTACTCCCATTAAGGTACATTTGGCAGCTGTTTCTGGACCCAGTCCCTTCTGAGAGCGCTTTGGTGCTCTCTGTTCACCGTTCTCAGCTGGGTCTGAGCTCTGGTTAAACGGCTCCTTTATCTCACTCATGTTTAAATCACATGCTTGGATATCTCAAAGGTGTTTTCTTTGAGGCTCTTGCTCCCTGTTTCCTCTTGTACCTTTCCAGAAGAGTGGCACTGGTGCTCCCTGTTTCCTCTGCCAGCTCTGGGGTGAGACTCGTGGGGCTTGTGCAGCTCTTGGCAGAGTGGAGAGCAGCTCCCCTCCCGAGTTTCTCACCGGGTTTGCCTCTGAATTGCATTAGAATGGGAATATTATCAGTTTCCTTTCCCAGATGTCAGAATTCCAGAGGATTTTTCATGATTTGACTGTTGAGAAAAATTGTATTTCTATATTCTGAAGGCTCAGCCTTGGGGCTGACCCCTGAAATCCCTCCCTTGGCTGGAGCCCTCGGGATGGCTCCCCATGGCTGCAGAATGAACAGTCTGGGCACAAACTGCACAGGAGTTTCTGTGTTTTGTGTGCTGTGACTCACCTGAATTCCCCCATACAAGCTGTGCTCTGCTGTGCCCCAGCTGGAGACCCTGAGGTGTCCTGGGTGTCCCAGGTGCAGTCCTTGGTGTCAGGTGATGCCAGTGGCTGAACGAGGGGCTCATTTCCAGTTTGCTGGCTGGATGGAACAGCCTCCCTTTCCTAAGATGGCTCAGCAGTGATTTTGTCTTTCCAGAAAACCATGACTGAGGAGAACTGGGCAGACCACATTCAGGTGAGTGTGGATTTCCCTCTCCCTGCTCTGTTTGCTTGGAGGTTATTTGAAGATGTTTTAGGATGCCCAGCTCTGGATGTTGGAGTCCTGCTCACAGTTCTGCACTTCCTCAACACTTTGGAAGCAAAATTGTCTTGCTTTCCTAAGGACTCCACACTCTGGATTTCCTGCTCGTTGCCAACTGGTGTATTTCTCACAAGTGTGTAATTATCAGCTGAGTGGTGCTGAAACTTGCCTGTTATCAGCCTGACTCGGTGCTATCAGAGATCCCTGTCTCTGGCATCACTTGAAAGTGATGGAATCTGTACCTGTGCATCTCCAGGAAGCTGAAATAACAACCTGTGCAGGCTGGTGGCTGCTGCTGGCTGGGAAAGGGAGGATCTTTGAGCAAATTTTGGTTTTTAGTGCAAAAATGAACATTATTCAGGACTTTATTTACAGGGGGAATGGCTCAAAGTTCACTCAGAGCTTCATAGACTCACAGGATTTCAAACTGCTTTGGGTTGAGAGGGATCATCCAGAGCCACCCCAGCCATGGCAGGGACACCTCCCACTGTCCCAGCTGCTCCCAGCCCTGTCCAGCCTGGCCTTGGGCACTGCCAGGGATCCAGGGGCAGCCCCAGCTGCTCTGGGCACCCTGTGCCAGGGCCTGCCCACCCTCCCAGGAAGGCATTTCTGGGTGCAGCTGTTTCCCATGTTCTGCACAGGGAGAGCCTGCAGCTGATCTCTGGCCTCCTCCAGCTGGGACAGTGAGATAACTTATTTATTTTAAAATTTCTGAGCATGAAAATCAAGCACTGTGCCAGCTCCTTCTCTGGGTGAGTAGGGGTCAGATGCTGGTAATTCCTAGGAAATGCAGAACTCCAGTTCCACTGCAGTTCAAGGGTTGTTATGCTGCTTACAGACAATGTTCAGAAATCTGCTCTTCTTTCTGTGCAATACATTGGGAAAACATTGACAATTCCTGGTACTTAATAGGTATAAATTACCTTGCATTGCAGCAAGGAGTTGATGTAATCTCATTTATTTGACCAATTCATTTCTAAATGGCAGTGGCTGATGCCAAGATTCTGTACAGAACCATTTTGACCTCAATTAAAACGCAGCTACCTCTGGAATAAAATGGAAAAGCTGCTACACTCAAGGAGGCAATTTTTAAAGGGATTTCAAAGGGCACAATGCCATTTAATTTTACAAAGGTTTGTTTTGTGGCCAGAACACCTGGCCAGGACTCCTGCTCTGGGGAGGCCTGAAAAAGGACAAGGAGTCAAAAAGACCACTTTGCAAACAGCCACATCCACTGTTGTTCCCTGGAAGCCCTGAGTTCAGGGAAACTTTTCAATTGTTTGAGTACAGTGAGGAACTGAACCTCATGGGGAATGAGGCAGTGTGTGCTCTGCAGGCAGGAGCGATGCTCTGGGGTGATTAATAAGTGACAAGTCTCTCAGTGTAAGGCTGCACACAAAACCATCCTTCCCTGTGGCTGGAGTGAAGTGTTTATTCAGGGATGGGATGGATTTCATCACTGTCAAACCCAGACTGGCTCTTTACCTGGAAGGTGGAAACCCAAATGAGTTTAGCCAGCCAACATGTGGAGTCCCCTGTGAGTACTCAGGCACTTCTTTAGCAGGAAATGAAACCAGTGGATGATTGTTTTGTTGGCCTTAGAAGTCTCAGGGAGGAATCATCAGCTGAGATAAATGTTCATGGTCCCTCCAGCGGTGCTCCTGCCGAGGTGCTGAGCCCCTGGAGCCCAGCAGCTCCCAGTGTGGGGGTGTGTGTCAATATGCAGGAGCTGCTCCTGCTTCTGCCTGCAGCCTGCCAGTTCAACCATCTGCAAAAGAACTGCATTTATCTTTCCACAGCTTTAAGCAGCTCCCAAACAGCTGCCATTGCAGAAAAGAGACCGTTGGATTTTTCTTTCCCTTTTCCCCTTTGCAGAACAGCTGGTGTTTATACCTGGACTAGTGACGGCTTTAAGGTCTTCTGTCTCTCCTGGGAAGTCAGGACGGGGGGAATTCCTTTGTTTTTTCCCCTGTGCCATTCTCTTTGGATTCACTGTTGAGCACACAGCCACAGTGTGGTTTAAAGGGAATATTAAACCATGGACAAACTAGAGTTTGCAGTAGGAGGAAAAGTGGGAGGCAAAAGTATCAATCTCCTTCCATTTTCCGGTTCAGTGTGTCGGTGGGGACACGTATTGATTAGAAGTAACACTGGTTACAGGAAAGCAAAAGGATGAGTGATGGGGTTGGTGCAGAGAACAGGCACATCTGTGACTGTCTCAGGATCAGCATTCTGTAATTCCAGGAGCTGGACTGGCTGATCCCTGTGGTTCCCTTCCAGCTCAGGATATTCTGATTCCCTGGGGTTCAGCTCTGCAGCTGTGCTCTGCTCTCAGGAGAGAGCAGGCAAACCTGCACCTCTACTGATGCAGTTTGCACTGCTAAAAGAAATGGGAACTTTGCACTGGGCAAGCTCCCAGCTGCTGAGGGAGAAAGAAGCACATGGGAGAAGCTGCAGTGTGTTCCAGCTCAGGAAGAGTCTGGCAAAGGATGACGTGCACAGTTCAATGGAAATTCTTGCAGCTACTTCCTGCATGGCTTAGGCTGTGTTAATTCTCTGTAAGGTTTGGAGGGCTGGTGTGTCTACTGTAATTGTAGTGGTTTTATTTATAACAAATCCAGCCATTGCTAGATAAATAAATTGTGGTTAAGCACAAAGATGCTGATGAATTCTGGTGTAATATTACAGCATGCACAAAGAAGCCAAGACAAACTGCCATCATTCGCCGTCCAATCTACCAAATTGTCAAAAAGGCCAAAATAATTCTAAAAGTCAGCCAAAAACTTCTCTGGAGTGATGTATGATATTTGTTCAATAACTTTAGAAAATCAGCTCCCATTTACTGAAGTGTGGATCCACAGGGCCAGGCTGGGAATTTTCAGAGCTGCGTGTCTGATTCTGCTTCAAGGAGGGATTGGCAAGGGATCCTTGGAAAGCTCAGGACCTCAGTCTTAAAGTTGATGGCCAAATAGCCTTAATGTGCAAATGAATTAAGTACTGGAGAGTGAAGAGAGGAAACTGGAGAAAACACACTGGGGAGGGAAAATCTCCTTTAAATTGTTTTGGTGTATTAGAGATGCATTCTGACCTTAGCCCCCTGCCACCAGCCAGGGCCAGCGTGCTGCTAAGCACTGTAATTACATTTCTGTCACTAGCAGGCATTCATTTGGCAGCACAGCTTCATCAGAAGGAGATTTGGTATGGTATAAAGAAGAGCTAATTGGCTTATGGCTGTAGGTTGAGAGGTCAGGGTTAGATTAAGGAGTTAAGAGCGTCAGTGAGCTGTTCAACACCACTGGGGTGTGCTGGCAGAGGTTTAGTTCTGCCAAGTGGGAAAAGCATCCTAGGAGTAGGAAACTACTCAGGAATTATGATCCTGCAAAACCTTATAGGAGTGTGTGGAACATACCAGCTCCTTAAAATCAGCATCAAGAGTGGTGTCCAGGATATCTGTTAGTGACTGCAAACTGCAGCAAGTACAGGGCAAAAGTCACAGAATCCCAGATTGGTTGGAGCTGGAAGGGACTTTTTAAAAACTCATCTTGTTCCAACCCCCTGCCATGGACAGGGATACCTTCCACTGTCCAGGCTGCCCAACCCCCCAGCCTGGCCTTGGGCACTGCCAGGGATCCAGGGGCAGCCCCAGCTGCTCTGGGCACCCTGTGCCAGCCCCTGCCCACCCTGCCAGGGAGAATTTCTCCCTAATATCTGATAAAAATCTCCCTTCTGTCAGTTTAAAACTGTTCCCCCTCAGCCTGTCACTGCCTCTGTATAAAGTCACTGTTTTCTGTAAGCTCCTCTCAGGTACCAAAGGGCCACAAGAGTCTCCCCAGAGCCTTCTCTTCTCTCAGGTGAACACCCCCAGCTCCTGTTCGTATCCCACAGAATAAAAATGAGGACAGGCTCACTTCAAACAGGCAAATCCTCACGTTCCTTCTGCTCCAGGACCAAGGGAGCCCTGGCAAGAGCCCTGGCCTGTGCAGCCCAGTAGGGGAAGGCAGGGGGAAGAGGGGACACGGAGCTTGCCTGCTCCCAGGGTAGCACAGAAGGAGAGGAGGGATTCAGTGACAGGAACCAAAGCAAACAGCAGGGTTTGCATGTGCTGAGTCTGCAGCTGGGCCCTGCAGCTCCATGGCAGGAGCCACGTGCTGCCCTGGCCCTGCAGGAGCTGCTGGGAGCCAGAGGTGTGCAGGTTCCCTTTGCCCAGTGGCACCAAGTTCTCAGCCTTCACACACACACAGACCCCTCTGCCCTCCTTCTCCAGCCAGCAGTGAAACAATCCAGCATTCAAAACTCATCCCAGATTCTTGAAACGCTGTGTAATCGATCGGTCCCTGTCTGAGTGCTCACTGATAGATATTGCCTTCTGAGGCCAGCAGCAAATCAGCTGCCTTGCACAGATAATCAGGCTGCTGGCAATTGATAGTTTGGCTGTATTATGCTTTTAGGCAAGATTAGTTCCCCAGTTCCCTGCCAAGAAGAGAACCACATAAACAGAGGATTGTTTAGAAACAAAAAAAGTTCCTCTTGACAGAGAAGTCATGTAAATGGGAAGAAACAGGAAACTAATCTTCCCTTGTTCGCTCTGAAAGAATGCATATCTCTGAGGAATGTTGTAATTATGGATTTAGGAAATCAGTCCAATTTGCCAGGGTGTGAATTTCAGAGTTCATTCAGTCAACCCTCTCAAACATTTCTTCTTCAGAACAAAAACCACCAGGAGCTGAAGTGTATCAAAAGAGATTAAAGGAGAGAAAAATCGACTGCCAGGCTTTGCTTTTGGAAAAGATCTTGCACAGATACTGATTATTGCTTTGGCTCTGAGCCAGGGAGGTTTGGGCATGGCAAAACAGAAATCAGTGGCATGTCTGTCCATGTGGACATGTTTGTCCCGTGGGCATCTCTTTTTCATACACTAACGATGGGAAGAGTTT